GAGGCATAGAATTAAGAAGATTGTCACCACTAGTACATAGAAGAATTAACAGATCACAAACAAATGATTATAAATATATGATCTTCTCTCAGTGCTTTTCCTACTCATGAAGTGTCAGAACTATAGAACTACATAATCATCCAGAGAAACTTGTATTAGTTAGTTGTGTAATTCATTTGAATAATTCAGAAAGCTGCTATAGAAACAAAAAAAAAGTCCCTTCTGAAGACATAACGCATGCTAATGAGTCTATGAAGTGTAATCTTCTGAAGCCAGCTAATGTTGACATGTTTTAAAAACCATCCACGCATTTGATAAACATATTAGGATTTTCATTCTATTCTTGCTAAGGGCAACAACTTGAACCATGCAGGCTAGAAGGCCTATAAGGGCAACTATCTAATGGATGTGTCTCTTCTCTTTGATCTTGAGATTTGGAACTGAATTTATACCACAATTTGATAAAATTTTCCTATAAATTGTTCCACTGAGAAATTTTATAAATTCTTTTATGGCATTAATTTATGCTCTGAATTCTGATGGATTTTGGTTCTACTTAATATTTGTCTTGCAAAGTTGGTAACTAATGTTTGTTTTGTTCCATGCTTTAAAATGACATTTACATAGATTTCACTAGAGGGCAAAATGACATTTACACATTAAAATGATCGGAGCAGGACAAAAGGGCAATATTCATGGTAGAGATATAAGTAACATATGTGAAGCATAATATGGAAGTATGCCTGACGTGCAAAAGTCTATTGCACATCAGAACAATGGGCAAAAGTCAGCAGGGATAATCCATGGTAGCCAGTAGAAACTTAACATTTTATGTGTAACATATAATGTGAAAGTATGCGTGAAATAGAAAGAGTAATAGAATTTTAAGATGGTAGATTTGATGAGAGTGACTCCAAATACCCTAAACATCCTTTTGTCATTTCTTTAGAATTTTCTCAAGGTTGCTCAACATAATGACATCTCAATTGAACAATTCTTATTCTAATCATATCAAGACTCTGAACTCATCATTGCAATAGAAAAGCATGTCAAAGTGTTGTCTGAATGTTCAATGTGACATCTCAACCCAAAAAGTCTAGTCATGTCAAGAGTCATGAACTCATTGTTGCAACATGAATGCATCTTAGAGCGCCTTCTCAGTTTCCAACGCCAAAGAGCTCCAGTGAGGAGTCAAATCTTGTTGCGGGTTAGGTTCCATGTATACAGCATCTTGATACTATTTAACATCAAGAATTGTTCATCACTCTTTGGACTATTTCTCTGCAAGGCAGTGCTTATATTACCTATCCAACAGGCACAGAGTGCCCAGAGGTTGAATAAAGTTTTGAAAGAAGTTAGGCTACTGCTCAATTAGATTCGAAGCTATCAGTCTCACTTTGAGTTCATGGTATTGATATTTTTTCTCATTACTAGTTTTTGAAAATGCTCATCATTTAAAGTTCATCGAGCAATTCTATTTCAATTCTTCGTTCCCTGTTGAATCCAAATCAATGCATAAGCAACTTGCCAAGAACAAACTTTAGAATCATTAGACTATAATATTTCAGTTGTTTCAAATTCTTGGAGTTCAAGCATTTATCCCAAATATGAGAACTCCTCAAAGAACAAAGAGAACAATTCAGTGACAGACATCGTTATGGATCCTCTACACTCCCTCTCTTCCTCATCCTTCCCCTCCGAATGACCAGGCTGGGACACTGAAGACCTTTTGCCACATATGAATTTTCCTTTTCTTTCATTGTTAGCATTACAATAAATTTCTTTTCTCAATTAAACAGCTATTGATAAATTGACAATGTACAAGTAGCACTGTTTTTCTACTTTTTGGCAAGATATTTCCATAATCGAACAAGGATAGGTTCAAACCAGCACCCCAATCCAACAAAATTACTATATAATGGAGAAATAAAACATTAGAAATCGACAGTGAACTTTAGCAACTACAAATATTCTAATTCTCTGCATTAGCATTTGGGAATTCCTAGTTTCGGAAGCTAACTTGTGTTTCAACATCCAATGCAGCATTGTGAAAAAAAAAAAAGCGCGCGCACACGCACACACACACACAAAAATAGAGAAAAATTTATACAAAATGCCATACAATTAATACACTAAAGTTCACCAAGTACACAAGGAATAAAATTACCTGCACGAAGAGCAGGAGTGTCCTTGGGAGTAGCTTCAAAGACAACAAAAGAAGGGTCAGTTGGGGAAGGAGGGAGGTAAGATCCCACTTCAACTTCACGAGCTTTAGCTGGTGATGTAAGTAATAATGGCACTATAGCAAGTCCATTGAACAGGTTTCTTCTTGAGAGATTTAGCTGGGGAAATTCTTGGTGGGATTGCATGCAAGAAGATGACTGCAAAAGGGGTGCTGGGATTTTCGGATTTGATGCAACCGAGGTTGAGAAATTAGAGGACATTAACGTTGTCACTGAAGTAGTTGCCATATGAAGTGTGTGACTGTGTGTGATTTTGTGGGAAGGTTGTGAAGGGTTGGATGGGATCCCGCTTTTATCCGTTATGGATGAGGTATGGGATCATTCTTCCAGTTGCCTTTTAACTCTTCAAGTTCCCAAAATACATTTTGTGTTCCATCTTTTTCTTTGTTTTTTTTTTTTTTAATTTTTGCTTTTTGTTTCTTTTTTTTTTTTTCAATTGTGGTATGAGGGCTAATTATAATTCGAAGCATTCTTGAGTGACAGAAAAATAACCAGAAAGTCAAAGCCTAACATGTGAAATTTACTACTCCCTCCGTCCCACTTTGATAGTCCTGTATTCCTTTTTCATCTGTCCCAAGTTGTAGTTCACTTTTCAATTGAAGAATGTAATTGTATTTTAATTTTTCTAAAATACCCTTATTCAATGTAAGTAGTTGTTACTATAAACCTACCCCATTTAATGAGAGTTGATTCTTTTTTAACCATCAATTCAAGTTCCCATAAAGTTGTACCATATTTAATGTGAGGGTATTTTAGAAAAATAGCAATCTAAATTTACTTTTCCAACAAAGTTAACTATTTTTTCTTAAACTGTGTGAAAAAAGAAACATGACTATCAAAGTGGGACGGAGGGAGTAATTGTGTTATGAGAAAGAAATATGTTAAACAAATAATGATTTATTTGGCAAGTGAGTTTTTTGAGTGTTTATCTAAAATTTTACTGTACCTTACTGTAGAAGTTTTTAAAAAAATTTTTGAAGTGTGTTTTTTTTTTTTAATATTTTGAAGTGTATAGTTTAAAAACTTCGAAAAATTTTTTGAGGTTACTGTAGCTAAAATTTTTAAAAAACTTGTAGTAGACAAACTTGGCAAAAAGCTCGTCTGCCAAACAAGGCCAATATAGCCTGTAGATGTCAAAAGTTATGTACATAATCAGTTTAAAGTTGGGTGAAAAAAAAAAGAAATAACTCTAAAATCTCTAATTCCTAATATAGGCTTTTTCCACCCTTCTCCAACAACCCTAACAAATTTTCTCTAGATTTTTTTATTAGCATGAAATAAAAAAGGAACAATTATTTTAAGTTTCGATACGTAGTTTAATGAAATTTCAAGGAGGAAAATTGAAACTAAATTTTCAACCCAATTAAACACACTAGACACAATAGTAGATTTTTTTTGAAGGAAAACACAATAGTAGATTTGATGCTTTAAAGCTTGCTTTTAATCTAAACACATACTTTTTTTGCCAACTTAAAAGCATAAGAAACTATTGTAAGTGTGTTTTTAGTGTATTTTAAATTGGGCTGTAAAGTTGATTTCTATTCTCATTTTGGTTGACCAGTGTATCTTATTCTTAGGGACTATCGACTTTTGGTGGATAAAACTTAATTTTGATGGTTCCATCACATAAGGATTAAATTGGCTATAGAAAAATAGTTGAAAGATTTAATTGGCCAAAATAGGGATGATAGACCAATTCAACTTTAGTAAACTAGTTGAGGGATTATTATTGTCATTTGCTCAAAACTAAGTCTAGCTCTTTCTCTGTTTAGACAAGGTATTAATTTTTATTTTTAAGGTTGTTGACTTTTTTTGGATGCATCAACAAATAAACAAGTGTAAAATTGTATTAAAATGATTTCGTTAAATGGCAGTGGGGACAAATTTTTTTCAATGTGGGTTAAACTTATAAGTAATTTTTTACGTACATACAAAGATTTTGGTTGGGGGGGTAGTGGGGACAATTGGGGATAATTGCCCGCACTGCTCCGCTTTATCTCGGTATCTAATTGTTTTCGATTAAAAAGAAAGTGACGAGTCACATTTCAAAATAAATAAATTGATATCAATATATAGGAAATTGATAGCTATTGGCCCTATCTTTCATGCATCACTCGTTCACTCACAGAATTGGCATTAGAGGGAAAACAACCCCAAAACTGCAGAGTGAATTAGAATTTAAAAATGATGTATTGTTAAACGATGAGACAGAGAAATATTTGGAGTTTGACATAAATCTCGCCATTTCTTAAATTATCAAGAAATGTATAAAAAGGTTTAACTGTTGACAATATTTAACTGTTCGTATTCATTTTGTCCCAAAATTGGCCAAAACCATTCAAAATTGTGGATTCTAGATGTCTCGTAGACATTCAAAGATTAGATGTGAACCCCGGCTGAAACCAGTGGAAGTTTAATTACATGAAATATCTGCGGCTGAATGTGAAGATGTTAAAGCCAATTTAATTCCGCTGATAATTTTCATGTTGTCACAATTCTGGCCCAAAATCTTTCAAGTCTGTAGTGTCTAGATGCCTCATGCATGCATCAAAATTCAGGGTGTGAATCCTGGTTCTTATCAGTGAAAGTTGAGCTCCATGAAATGTCTGTGGCTGAAAGGTGAAGAGGTTAAAGCCAGTTCTGATGGCTTCGAAGCTTCAATGGACTTATGGTAGTCAGACAAGAACTGCTGCAAAAGAAAGCTTTTCTTCGTGAATCATGAGCAGAGATAAAACCAAGGACGCTGCGTTCTCCATAGTATTTAATGCTCCTTTAACAGCTACTAACAGATAAAAGGAAAAGTTCAAGATGCAAATGAAGGGGCTTTAAGATTTTCTATCCATTGTAGTGGCTAACTATACCTTTCAAAGATTAGGCGGCATTGGACAGAAACACTTGCTATAGATAGCTCAAAAAAATGAATAAATGGAGGTTTACATGTAGTTTAAGAACTCCCCACATTTCTGTTCTCTGACTAACTAAACATTTAAGCAGTAAGAAATGACTGATCAGCCGTCAATGGTCTCATTCCTCTTCCAATTCGAGGCCTGGTATGTACTCCAAACTCACATCAAATATAACTGGGCTATAAGCAGCTACTCTTGGCCTTCCTGGAGCAGAATTGAGGCCTTTTGGAAATGCCAGCTACTCAAACACAAGATAAAGAATCAGTCATATAATGGACAAAATAAAGTCATGATCTTAAAACTTCTCTGGTGAAGTTAAGGATATCCACATCAAAATAAAACACATAAATGTCATCAAACTGTGTAGCACGAGAAAAAATGTTCAAGGGAGTTTAGATTATGTTCGTAATGGTAGAACAGCTACACCAGAAAACATGTTGTACTTTCTGCACTTCTTTTAGATTGAGCAGCAGCTTGCATGAAATGGCATCTTAGAGAACTTGAAAACTCGAATAGTTTGTAACTTATTTTCATTGCCACAGAACTCCACTCATGAATTTTAGGTGGCTTAAATGGAAGCTTTCAGCAATACAGTTATGAATGATGGCTCTAGGAAGTTAGACTAGCAGAATGCAAGCCAATAAGAAAAGAATTAGGAAGTTGCAGATGAATTATAACTTGGTTTTATATAATGTTGAGTATCAGATTCTCCACGAACCATATTCGTATTAAAACAGATCTAACTTCAGAGCTAGAGAGTTTAGGAGGTTATCCTTCTCATTTTTTTTTCTTTTCTTACTTCTTTGATTGGTGTGAATGCATTGTAAAATATACATCCATAGATACGGTCAGAGTATTTAAAAGATTTCCTATAAGAATATACTAGCAAAGATAACAGGCCAAAGCTTACTGATCCTGGAATGTAGAGACGGCGTTTGCCCCCAACTCTCATGCTCAGGATCCCTTCATCGAGTCCCTTGATCACCTACACTAGTTGCTTGAATTGGTAATCAAAAAGGATGCTTAAAAGCAAAATATTCATTGGTATCAAGAATAGAGGGGATATATAGTTTTACAGACAGCAGTCTACTGAATACAAGGACTAAACTAGCCAATCTAAGAAGTAGGGGGGGAAAAATCTCCTTATACAAAAGCATCTGGGATCAAAGTCCATAGTAAAACCAAGTTCCAGTTTTCAGAAGGCTTCCTAGCTCCCCTCCAGCAAGAAGATAATGAGATAGCATGGAAATATATTCAACGAAATCTAAAGATGATTAAGCTGGATCTTATTTCTTGATGATTAAGTTGACACATTATACCTTTAGCAAAGATATCAAATTATTTAGCATAGCATTTCCATTACAAAAAGAAAATCAGAGGATCATCTGAACTGATTCGCTTGAGTTGTTATGAATGTGTTTTTTTTATAAGCTCTGATGTAACCTAGTGCACGGGAAAATTGGAGCTAGTGATCTGGTCATTAGATACAGTGGGCCCAAAGTGTAGGGTTTTAGCTGAAAATAATGAGTTAATGTTCAAGGATCCTTTTGTCCATACCATGAACCGAGCTAGGATTGTTCCTTATCTAAGGATTATGTGACTTAGAATGGTAGTATAACTGGACTGCGGACACTGTCTAATTCTTGTGATAAACATACCTGACCAGATCCAACGCGGAAAATATAAGGCTGACCTTTCTCCAGTGAACTGTAATGTCAATCAGAAAGAGAAGTATGAGTACAATAGCTTAGTCTTAACAATGAACAAGAAAAGAAACAAGTTATGTATTTCATTTTGTATTCTAACTGATTTAAGGTACCAATAATTGTTTTCTTTTTTCAAGCATATTTCCTTTTTAGATGGCAAAGATGAAAGGATAAGGGTGAAAATCTTGATACAGTATTTGTATCACAATGTGCACAAGAAGTTCATTTATCTGTCCAGTACTGAAATTTTTACCTATGTAACTACAGCAGATTGGTTTATGGCTGACTAGACAGTTGCAATACTTATTCCACACAAAGATGAAAAATAAAAACTATATAAAATTCCAGTATGGTTCTATGGAACAGACGTTAAAAAGGTCACCAAGTTTACCTGTCAAATATCTGCCCAGATGGTACCATGGCAACATAATTAGCAGCCACCTGTATGAATGGTATAGGCAAAAGAAGAGCACATAAAACATTCTCAAGGGAAATAAAGACCAAAATGCGATTATCTCCAAAAACAAAAAATGTGTTATGCTTAATGTCTTTAGTTTGATCTGAATTTTAAAAAAATAAGTAGAGATTAACAAAAAAAATCCAAGGGCCAATTACACTATTTTAGTGTGATGAGTTAATCCAAATTGGATAAGATATACAGACATAAAGGATCAAATCAAGTGAGAACAAAGATTACAGGTTTCTCTATATATTGCCAGCAGAACATCTCTGCAGAGTAAGTGATTAAATGAAGGACTTGATCACATTCCAAAACTTCAGCATTTTGCATGTTCTTTTACTGTCAGACGTAATTTACCTGAAAGCCAACCGGGGGACTAGGGCCACCACCAACTTTAATATCTTTGTACTGCAGACCCGACACAGTAGTTACCATAGGTACCTTTATCAGTTGACAGTTCCCAGTTTAGTGTAACTACAGTGATCAGATGTTAAAAAAGTACAGATGAAACCTTAGGCAATCCAAAATTCTTTATTTAAGTTTTTTAAGCTACAAAGTTCAGAGGACAATATAAAAGACAATTTCCAAAGATACATTTTTTTTGACAAAGATTTTGTGGCAATTGCACAGAGAGAAGCATCAATATGCCCAAACTTCCTAGATAAAGAAACTGTTTTTATGGTTTGAGTTTCAAATCTTCCTGTTTATAAATTCTCTATGGAGATTGAAATAGAACTCTATATTGTTCTTTGACTTGATTGCAAGTGAAAGATATCCAAAGCAGATTGTTGATCAGCATTCATCATAAATGTGTAATACCTCAGTCAGTTGATTGGATCTCTATCACTCGGATACAGTTTCAGGTAAATATAGTTAAAGTGACTGTTACCCATTGTCGAGCAAGAAAACTTTAACAATTGAATGGAAGATGAATAAAAAGATAGTAAATAGATAATGCTAAAAGGAGCATAAAAATTTCTCAGCACCTTACTGCAGCAATTTTGTTGCTATAAGCAGTCTGGAAATTTAAAGTTAAACAAGATTCCCCTCTAGAAACTATGGATACCTCCAATTGGTTAGCGAATCTGTTAGGCTGACATCTGAATGGTAAGGATCTAGATATAAAACCAATCAAATTGATAACAGTTTCAAGTTACTGTTGTCCAACTTCTGTTGTTCCCTGGGCTCTTATCAACAATACACAAGAGATAGTAGATACTGGTGTCAAATTGACTTCCAGTAATGATACCTTGCAGACTGCTGCAAACTAAAAAGAAAGACAGAGAACACTTCAAATAACTTGCTATTTTCTTAAAAAGCAAGTTGATGGACGTTCTCAAATGTAGGCCATGACGTGAAGCTTATTTAAAGATGTCAGAATGCATGAGAACTACTAAAATCAGTTTCTCATCAAGTGGCTACTTCTTGTATTGATGCCAAGTGTAGCAAAATTGGGATTTCACAAAGTATTGCAGATTTAGCAGGAATTTCACATGCATTTCCAAAAGTTGACAACTGTTATAGTCCACTAAGCAATTGTGACGGCATTATGGTGCAGCAATTATATCACAGAACTGGTACATTTTTGGTATTAGCTGATGAGCCAAAACAGCGATTATGAAGCTTGTTTAACTTTGCACTGCTAGCAGTTGCGGATACAGTTCCACCGTTGGTTAAAAGAATTCAATGAAAATCGATCCATTTTCTTTCCACAATAGTGAGCTAAGATGTGAATGATATGTGACATTAATTCATAGGCAGACTGACAACCACAAAACCAAATCAGTATCCGAAACAGGACAAGTGACCAGAATTTGACAGTGAATATTAAAAGTGCATCTGCCACTGGAGGACTAAAGTAAAAAGAGGAGGGTTGTCAAAATCTCAGGATCAGAAAGGTTGGGTTGCAGCATTTCTTTATAGGTAATGGGGCTGACTAAAACATTTCAACTACAGCATGCATGGTATTCTTCTATGACGTGAAATTAAAAGCAAATTGTTCAATAACTAATGCTGTTCATTTTTAACTAGGTTATTCTATGTTAACATGCATGATGACTTAAAGGAAAACTGAAAGACATAATAAAAAGAAGTGTACTAGTTTCCTTAATATCTTAGATCAAATTGTGCGGCAGATTATGACCATGGTTCAGGAAAATGTTTTCAAGAGGAAAGCAAACAGATGTATAAGAGAGGTTGAAATCTCACCGTACATTTTCAAGCTCTTTCTCGCAATCATCATCACACAATCTTGGTTTTTGCTCTGGAGGCAACCCAGCTGCTTCAGAAGAAAATGAAAATAATAGGATACTTGAGAGACCAAAAGCCATCCCTAGCACATCTCTACGATTGATCGAACACACTTTTCCACATTGTGAAGCAGTGGCATCTTGTACTCTGAGCCCTGAACTTGAGCAACAACGTATAGCAACACCTTGCATTTGGCTCTTTGTGGTTGTTTGCTGCTTGGTTTTGAAACTTGTAATACATGCAGGACCTAAACCAACAGGAATGATTCATCAAGACAGGAAGTGCAAATTATTTATAAATTTATGCTTGGGCTACTAGCAGAAATTTTAAGTTTTAATTATTTTCATTTTGAACAAACAGCAGAAAAATAATGATCCCCATGAGGTACCAAACAACATTAGGGAAGCAAGTTTCTGATGGATAAACCAAACAATATCTTGCGCCTGGATGAGAAGATGAGAAGTAGAAAAAGAGATTGCTGAAAGGTCAAGAATAAAACCATAATAAGAGTAAAATTTCTATATGAGCTAACTTAAACAGTGATCTATCAAAAAAAACAAAATAGTCAAAGAATACTCTTCTTGCAAGTGCGAAAATGTTCAGATGTTGGGAACTTGGCAATAACTATCATCCTTCGGCTAACAAGGGCAACACAGACTGCAACCACATTGATATGAGCTAATCATATTGTGTCTTTCAGATTCTTTATCCAAGGTACCTGGCAAGTATCACCTCCATTTGGTCTAAACTTGCTAAAAAAAGTGTTCAATGACTCCTAGAAATTCCAAATTTTTTATACAGCACTAGAGCAACCAATCAAGTAGATACTGGTTCAGACCATCATGATAATGCAGAATGAATTAAAGACATATTCCCCCAGGTACTGGAAAGAAGAAGAAATGAAGCTCTCTCTAAAGAAAGTGGCATACTTAAGTTTAGAGTTGCAAGTACCTGATGGGAGGAGAATCGATGTAGATGCCATTTTCAGTTTTCTTCTATTTCTTCAAATGGAAAAGCGATATGTCTGCAATCATTGTTCAAAAATATGGATGATGGATGGATAGAACATTCAACCAAGGGCAATATTGTGCCGTCACTTGCAGACTTTGTTAATGCTTAATAAACTTCATATAGAACAACCAAGAAAGAGTGGATCAAAGGCATAGGTTAACCTCTCAGAGATCAACTATTCTTCATTGAACTAGACCTATCAGTTGCATAAGAAACCTAACAAACCATCTTCAATATTGTAAAGCAACTATACACTTACCTACCCAAAACCTTGTTATCTCGAACCCATGGCCTCCCCACCTAGAGCAATGGATTTTGTTGTGATTGTGCTGTCTTTTAAACTGAAACTATTGATGTTTTTCTTGTATTAATTGTATAATGATAATCATGATATGCAACATCAATAGGCTAAAGTATAGGCTAAAATTAAAAAATAATGTGATTCAAAATAGTAATTTACAGGAAAACTAAGAGAACAACTATAACTTTCATAGATATTTTAAAGAGACTACTCAACAGAGAACCAAAGAGACAGATAAACAGGGTGCTAAATTGCTCAACACACGATGGCAACCAGAATCCATTGATGATTCACAGAAAGAAGAACCAACCAAAATAAAAGGAAAACAAGAATCACAAATACCAAAACATGTCCATAAGCCCCAGAATGGTAGTTCAAGAAAGAATAAAATATAATGTGATTCAAAATAGTAATTTACAGGAAAACTAAGAGAACAACTATAACTTTCATAGATATTTTAAAGAGACTACTCAACAGAGAACCAAAGAGACAGATAAACAGGGTGCCAAATTGCTCAACGCACGATGGCAACCAGAATCCATTGATGATTCACAGAAAGAAGAACCAACCAAAATAAAAGGAAAACAAGAATCACAAATACCAAAACATGTCCATAAGCCCCAGAATGGTAGTTCAAGAAAGAATTTAACTGATCTCACCGATGCAACAAAAGAACCTGATTCAACACATGAATGGTTCATGTCAATTGCATTAGAAGTTAATAGTAGATCAAAAGCTCTGGTGGCTAAAAAGTTCTCTCATAATGCAGGTAGTTAATACGCTGATAAATCCACAAACAAAAATGGAAGTTTAAGGACAAAAGGTTCAGGAATTAACATTTCCCACCAGACATAAAAATCAAGTGCCTGCAACAGCATATCCCAATCTTCTGTAACCCTTCAACCTGGATAAGAAGCTGCCAGGTTGATTTACACACTTTGGATTTGAGTGTGGAAAGGTAATAAATGAAAGTAAATTTCTTGTATTGAGCATAAATAATACATAGCAAATTCCTTTGGTTTGTTATTTCTTTTTTACATACCAAATTAGTCATTATAAATGATCTGAATACTTCAACTGACAGTGTAAAACTGCAAATTGAGCCAGTTGAAATTTAACTCGCCTGCCTATGATATCCCAGTAACACAATAGAGGAGCAAGAACCACCCTACCTTCTTCCTCAAGTACTTTTAAGTGAAATGTTATCTTAAACTCTAAATCAATACGAAGGTGAAAGCATCCATTTTCTTCTTAACTTTTCACTTTCAATTAAAGGGTTTAAAGCTTGGAAACTTGAATTACTAAAAGCACAAAGCCGTTCATGCCAAAATACCTCAGCACTTTGGCCAGTAAGATTTTTGGGTACAATTACAACTTAAAGGCAGATTTGATTACAATGTAGCACAGTACTTCCAGTCACATGCAAATATGGTATGCGCAAAGACTTCAAAGAATATGCCCCTACATATCCAGTTCAGACATTTATGGGTAAAATTAAGGAAAGAAACAAACTAGACCACAACATTGTACAAAAGATCATTCCTGCAGGAAACTTAGAAGAAATTGAATGCAGATATTCAAAGGCAGATAGGATAAAAGATTCATTGGATGAGTTCATATGATGAAGTTACCAGCAGGAAGAGCAGGAGCAAGTGTTAATACTGATTGCATCTAGGCAAGTCCATGAAGGATGTCTCTTCTCGAGAGCTTCATTGACCTTGTGGGTTTTCAAATTGACAAGCTTTTAACGCAGTTAAAGTGCAGAAAATGGCGGAAAATGGGGTCACTGGCAAGGAGCTTGGGGCTTAGTGTAGCGTATGCTGTGTGTTTGATTTTGAAGGGAGGTTGAGTGTTGGCCGGGAAGGGATCCCCCCCTTATCCGTTACGGATGAGGCGTCCTGTCCTTTTTTATCATGTCAATTTCTGATGTACCGGTACCAAACCAGAAATTGGGTGAAGTGCCAATGGGTTAATTCCATATTGGTCTTTCAAAGAAGTTAAAAATCTCAAGCCCCGTTTAGCAATTCAGTTTTTTTATGTGTTTATCTAAAACTTTACGGTAGAAGTTGTAAAAAATTTTTTTGAAATTGGTAAATTTTTTAATATTTTGAAGTGTATAGTTTAAAAATTTTGAGAAATTTTTTGAGTTTATTATAATTAAAATTGTTAAAAAACTTGTGACAGATAAACTTGGCCATAAACTTGCCTGCCAAACAAGGCCTGATCAATTTGGTTCCTCAAACTGAAAAGGTCTTAATTTGGTCTTCCAAAGTGGTGAAACATGTCAATTTGGTACCTTGAACCAAAAAGGGGGAAAAAAGGCTTTATATTGGTCCTGCAAAGTAACACAAAATCTCAATACGCCTTTTTAATTGAAAATTCATAACATAATTTTACTAAGGGTAAAATACAGAAAACCTTCTTGTGCTTTGGACTAGAATGGAATTACGCATTTTGACCTGCTGTGAATAGGTAGTCTGTCTATTATTAATTTTTTCCTTTTTATTTTATTTTCTTTTCCTTTCCTTTTTTTCCTTTTCTTTTCTATTCTTGTTCTTCTGTTTCCTCCATTTCACATTCTCCACAACCAGGGTCTGGGCATCTGCTCATTTTTTTATTCTTTCTTTTCTTTTCTTTTTTTCATTTTCACCTTTTATTTCTTTTTCCTCCTCTGTCCTACTCCCCTTCCCCCTCCACCACTTCACACCACCATTCTCTCCACCCAAGGTCTAAAATCCTGCAAATTTGGAGTACCATAATATAAGAGGTAGTGGGTTGGTTTGTATTTTTATGCATTGCTACAAATCTAGTCCCCTACGGGAAAAATGGGCACCACAACATCAGCCATCAAAGACCCAAAAATTGGGCAAAGGAATTCTACAGATGGGTCTCATTTTTGCTATGATTTCAGGGAGAAAGAAGAAGAGGACTTGTAGTTGGAGATTTTCCATTTCTGAAACTTGCCATTTTCACTTATTTGATTTGTCTACTTTTTCAAGAATTTTATGGTGGAAGCTTATGAAATTCGTGAAATTTTTTCTTGGATTTTTGGGTGAATTTGGATTTTGGGGCCATTGTTGTGGAAGAATCTTTGGAGACAAAGTCGCAGGCGGTGGTGGTGACTAGCGGTGGTAGAGAGAGATGGCAGAGGAAAAGAGGGAGAGGGTATGAATAATTTTTGCTATGATCTCAAGAAGGCAGAAGAAAGAGGACTTGTAGTTGGAGATTTTCCATTTCCGAAACTTGCCATTTTCACTCATTTGATTTGTCTACTTTTTCAAGAATTTTATGATGGAAGCTTATGAAATTCATGAAATGGCCATTGTTTTGGAAGAATTTTTGGAGACAAAATAGTGGTGACTTGCGGTAGTAGAGAGAGATGGCAGAGGAAAACAGTGAAAGGGTATGAATAATTTTTAAAAATTTTTGAAAGTGCATCAATAATTATAAAATTTGTAAAAATACCTATGATAGTTAAGTCAAAGCACCAAAATTGAAAGAAAAAATGACAATAAAATTAAAAAATATATTAAAAAATAATAATACATCACTTGCAGGTAGCATATAGTTTACCGGTCAAATTTCACTTTAGTCTAAAGTACAAGGGGGTTATGTGGGTTTTTTAAATAATGAGGAAGTATCATGTCCAAATGCCAAACCACAAGGGAGTTTTGTGTATTTTACCCTAGATTAAACATGTATTTTTAACCCCGAACTTTTTGAATCGTACATATAATATCTTCTATGACACTCGTTCCCCATTTTACTAAGAGTAAATCATAGGGTTGTAAACAATCCGAATATCAAGCGTGATTACTTTTCATGATTATAAGTTTTGATTGTTTTTTTCCACGTTGATAATTTTAATACTCTATTATTTATTAGAGTTTGTGTTCTACAACAGACTTCTTATTACTTTCTTATATTATTTTTATTTTTCTTGCTAGTTTTTAACAAATTTTCTTGTCTTTTCTTAAAACTTGTTCCTAAATTACCCTTTGAATAAAGTTCCTCACCTAAGACCATGTTTAGCTAATTAATGTATTACAATCCAACAAAATGTAGGAGCAATTCCTACTCAAGTAAAGATTGTCTCAGTCACTATCTTTGTTACTATTATTGTACTTGAATTATTTCTTAATTCTTTATTGGCATGTTCAAATCTTTAAAGTCCCTTTTTCCCCTATTTATCTTAGGTATGGGTACTTTTCGATATAAGATTGACTCACAGGCCTTTAAGAATTAATTTGTAATTTTAGTATAAAAGTATTTAAACACAAGTAGAAAAAACTTTAAACAAGTTTTTGATATTGGATTATAACAAATTAATGCAACATAAAATTATAGATATCAAGATAAGGCAAAATATTTTATTGATGAAGAAAATTTACATCAACTACAATACTTACATGGTTGATGGACTTTGTACAATGGTTGGATTGATGAACTTTGTACAATGGTTGAAACCTTAAAATGCTAATAAATGGTTCTAATATAAAACAAAAAGAAGGAACAAGAAAATAATTATCTAGTTAATAATCCAAAAGTGGTTTGGATTATTGCCTGAAATTTGTCCTTGTAATTGCCGTCTTCAGAGTGGATGCTTGAGTTTAGAAACAGATGTGAGTTTTCTTTCTCTCCAAGAATTGTTCATCACTGCTGCAGATTCCTTCTTTTATAGTTGTTAGGACTCCTATTCCTTTGTTAAATTATTGCTACTACAGTGTTTTCTTGATAGGCATCAAAGCTGCTAATTGTTCTCTGACTCATCTTGATAGGTATTCGATATTTTTAGTTGTGGGTTGAGCCATCCTGAACCATTTTGCATGTTTGATTGTAACATGTTTTCCAAGATAAGATGTCATATCAAGCCGTTGCACCAATAGCTTTAATTAAAGAACTTTCATCGAAAGAAAAACTAGTTTTGGAGAGAAAGAAAAACTCACATCTGTCTCCAAACTCAAGCATCCACTCTAAAGACAGCAATTGCAAGAACAAATTTCAGGCAATAATCCACCACTTTTGGATAGTTAAGTAGAAATTTTTTCTTGTTCCTTCATTTTTCTTCATTAATAAAATATTTTACCTTATCTTCATATCTATAATTTTATGTTGCATTAATTTGTTATAATGCAACATCAAAAATTTGTCTAAAATTTCTTCTACTTGTGTTTAAATACTTTTACATTGAAATTACAAATTAATTCTTAAAGGCCTCTGAGTCAATCTTATGTCAAAAAGTATCTATACCTGAGATAAATTGGGAAAAAGGAGACTTTAAAATTTTGAACATGCCAATAAAGAATTAAGAAATAATTCAGGTATAATAGTATTAACAAAAGAAGTGATTGAGAAAATCTTTACTTGGGTAGGAATTGCCCTACTTTTTGTTGGATTGTAATACATTAATTAGCTAAACAAGATCATAGGATAGGAACTTTATTCAACAAGTTATTTAGGAAACAAATTTTAAGAAAAAACAAGAAAATTTGTTAAAAACTACCAAGAAAAATAAAAATAATATAAGAAAGTCTTTTGTAGAACACAAACTCTAATAAATAATAGAGTATTAAAATTATCAAAGTAGGAAGAGCCAATCAAAACTTGTAATTGTAAAAGGTAATCGTGCTCGATACTTGGATCATTTACACCCCTAGTAAATCATATATTTACTGACAGTATATATACTATTACTATTGGATCCATAACGTATATACAAAAGTTAAATTTTAAATTCAAATTTTATATAATTGTGTCAATCATCCAATGCTGATAATGCATATACTATCAGTGTAGGAAAGATTAATCTTTTTACTAATTATGGTTACCAAAAATAGGGAAATAACAAACCCATTAAATGGGTTAATCATTGCAATCAACTGATTCTCATTAAAACTATCAATGGTGTTGAGCCAACCTAAGCTCAACAGGAAAAACATTAGGGTCAAGCATCATACATCATTGGGTTGGATTGAGCTTGGCCCTCGAAATGAGGCTAATTAATTGTTAGTCGAACTTGGACTTAATGGAGTTCAACTCGATCAAAACCTGACTCGATACTAAGTATATGAGTATGTATTATTTTTTATATATAATGATGTATATTATTTAATAATAGTACGTATTATAATGTACATGATTTATAATTTATATCTAAGGGTAAAATCCAATAGATATTATATGCGTATTATATAAAGTTATGGATTAATTGGAATTTGGGTTATTAGGCTTAAAACTCTAATATCTCTGTGAGTTGAATATAAGCCTTACCCATTGACCTCGAATGCTCAAGCCTAAACCCTAGAGCCTAAAATTTCTACTTTATTTTGTTAGCCAAGTTTGAATATTGCAAAACTAATTAAAGGGAGAAAAAATGATATCCAAGCATTCCTTCAAACCTTGATTTTTTTCTTTGTCTTTAATTTCTAGCTATATTTCTTCTATATATTTGGGAATACTTTTGGGTTTGCAAAACTTACATAGCTTTACAAAAAATTCAAACCCTAGCTTTGGGTTTTGTAAGAGAAAATGGGAAAAAATGGGAGGAAGACATGGAAGAAAATGAAGGCGGTGGTGACCACGATGGAGGTCTGGTGATCATCACATCCACATGAACAAAACGATGGTGATAGTGATAGTAGTAGAGGAGGAGAAGAGGAGAGATATGGTTAAAATGCAATCAAGGTTTCATCTAGTAGAGAAATGTAAGAATGTTAACTGTAGAAGAATGGGAGAATTAGTTGGGAAGCTAGTCCCAATGGAATGCTAGCGATGGTAGGCAATCATGTGTGAGTAGGGGCTGGCGACTAATGAGTTAGAAGAAGACCGAGTAAGCAATTTCTACTTTTAGAAAAAATCTGATGATGTGGCAAATTGTGTATCACTCAGTCTACAGGTGGC